TTGGGATTTTTCTTAGAATCTGCCTATACTGGGGCAGGGAGAGGCAAGAGGTGAAGTAGTTTGAGCTTCAACATGCCAAATCATAGATTGCAAACATGATCAGGTTACCAGCCTAGATACTTTAGGAATGCCTTGACTTTAAAAAAAAAATGTATTGCTTAGGGGAAGAGGTATGCTTTTGTTTGCACAGGAAATGAAAGACTGTAGATTCATTCAAAGTTAATAGAGATCAGGTTTGATCAGGGAGATCCCCTAAAAGTGCTGGCTACAGGTATAAACAAATAAACCTAGAGAAACTACAAGACAAGTGATGTATATTTTACCTGCTCAGACATAAAACAAAAAATCACCTTTGGCACAGTCTATACTTGTGATAATTCAGATATGTATATTACCTTTGAAAGTTTGTGTGCTTTCAGAGTGTGGGGATCAGACACCAATGAAAATGGGTGGCCCAGATCTAGCCTCTCAGAGTGCCACTGTTGCAGTTTCTTCAGACTTCTGCAACCAGAAAGCTTCAAGGCTTCTGGCTGAGATGGTCCAGCCTCACAGACTATTCTAGCCAGGACTGCAGATAAGCCTTGTACTTTATCATTGCTCAGAGACTAGACAACAAATGTATGGCTACCTCTCCCAGGATTTGACCATTATCTTAATTTTCTCAGGTTCTCTAAAAAGATGCCTTCACGCACAGCAACAGGAAGCAGTTTAGAGAACACATTGCCCACTTTCTGAAGAGGCAGGGTGGGTGGTTTTTGGTCATTCTGTGGGTTATGGATTTTTGACATCATTTAGGGGGAATATAGGATAAAAAGACAACTGTTAACCTCAAATATTTTACATTGGTATGGATTTTGGTATACTGATACAAAGTTATTTTGTTATACTGTGTGTATGTTTCTACTCATTTTGGGTATTGTATCTAGGCAGCTCATTTAAAAATGTAATGTATAATTAAGAAATAAGGTTAGTATTTCTTGTAGTCATATTAAGTATGTTTTCAGGGTCAAATGGATATATTTAGATAGACAGATGATCTTCAAACACTTCAAAGACCTACAGAATATGGCATTTAAGGTGTTTAACAACCTAAGTCTTTTTATGATAGTGAGATCTGTCTGCTCCTGGCAGCACCAATTTACTTCAGAGAAGATGATGGCCATTGGAGAAACTCCTTATGGAGTTTGATTTCATTGTGGCAAAGAAACTGTTCTTGTCTTGACTGCTAACAGTATGCTGTACATACTGGACAGGCAAGACACAAAGGAAAAAGACTGTTGAACTTTGCCGAGAAAAGGTTGGACAGTCCTTCAAAATTATTGCTTCACAGAAAAGTCTGCCAGACATTCTGCAAGACACACAAGAATGCAACTGCTGAACTTTGCCAATACTAGGCAGTACAGTCCTTCAAAACTCCTGCTTCATAGAGAAGTCTGCCAAATATTCTACACCTGTAGGCTGGAAATGGATGCGTCAACCTTGCAGAGGAGCCTTGGTGACTGTCCAAGCAGCCAGATGTCTGTAATTTCTATAATTTTGGAAGTGGCTTGCACTGTACTTTCTGTTTACTCAAGTAATACTATATCCTTCTGGGTTCTTTGATAGAGTTGAAGACTAGATAGTTATAATTTTCCTTAGTTACAATAGAAGATAAATTAGGTACAAGACTTTGGACTCACCAAGACAGAATAAATAGTGGAGTATTTTCCCTGAATTTGCCAAATATAAATGGACTGGATATTATAAGTGTAATTCTTACTTGATAACTTTTCTTATATATAATCTTATTATATGTAATTAAAACCTTTATTTTTATTTAAACAAAAAGGGGGATATGTTGTGGAATATTATTTTTAACTAGGCAAAGATGTATTACATTTGTTTATGCTGCAGAATATTACTTTAACTGTGTAAAGGTATGTTAACATGTGTTTATGTTGCATTTAATTATGTAAAGACATGTTCCATCTGTTTCACCTTGCCTGCCTGAGGCACCTGATTGGTCTAATAAAAAAATGAGTAGCCAAAAGCTATTCTCTTGGAATAGTGACATCCTTACTGTCTCAACAGTGCTACACTGCAGAGTCTGTTGAGCCCACAGCAGTCATCTGCTCAGGACTTACAAGTTGGAAAGACCATTGGTGACGTTTGGATCACAGAACGTCTACCTCCCAACGATTCGTGCATTCCAATGCAAAGGGTTTTGTTTTATTGATGTATTTGGAGTGGGGCCTGTGCAGGTGTGTAGAGACTAGAAAAGGACCTATAGTGCCCTACTCTATCATACTCTGTCTTATTCCACTGAGACAGGGTCTCTAACTGAGCATGGAGTTAACTAATGGCCCGTGAGCACCTTCTGCCTCTGCTCTCCCACAGTGCTGGAGTTACAGACATGTCACTATACCCAGCTTTTAATGTAGGCTCTGGGGATTTGAACTCATATCCTCCTACTTGCACAGCATGAGCTCTTTACCCATTGAGCCATCACCCTAACTCCCTTTATGGTACAAAGGATCAAACCCAGGGTGATGGGCAAGGCACCCTACTACTAAGGTATATCCCTAGTCCCCAAAAGCTTTTTTAAAACCTTTAGTGTTGTAGTAAACAAACGGTACTGATCCAGAAACTTACCAAGCTCCTGACAGACCTGTGTTCACATTAGAAAGCCAGCAAGCTTGGCTTCTGCCATTTGTAGTCATTTGCTTTATTTGACCGCAGGAGCCACAGGAAAAGTCATAGTGTCTGGGCAGGACTTCCTTTTCCCGTTTTCCCTATCCCTTCCCCCAAAGGTCTCATTAGCAGAAACACTGAAAGTTTAAAGCAATGAAATAATAACAGCTACAATGATTTAAGGATTAACTGCAGAGCGGGACAGTGCTGAAGGTGATTTACATCCATCTCATTTGCTCCCTATGCTCCATAAAAGGGGTAATGAAGACTCTTAACTCACACAGCCTGGGTCCTGACCCAAATCTCCCCATTTCCAAGGCCTTGCTTTAGAGGGTTCCGCTGGGAACTATTAGATCAGTTAACAAGGTTTAGATCAGGGGGCAGTGATTGATCCCTTCTGCAACAGAAAACTCAAGCACAGCTCAGGCATAGTCTCCCATCTGCCATCCCATAATGTTTCTCTAGGAAGCCAGTTCCCTTTCCTCTGGCTCCTTACCTTGTATTTGTTCCCTCTGGAACCTGTAACAGTGAACTGGGACCCTTCCTAGCTGCATTTTCAGTGTAGGAAACAGTCACCCTCCTCTCTTCTCTAATGTGCTCAGCTCAGCTTAGTAGCTTGGGCAGAGCCTCTGAGAGTCAATCACTTGAAACACAGGGAGGCACATTCAAAAGCTACAAATGCTGGTAGCTTGGGCAGAGCCTCTGAGAGTCAATCACTTAAAACATAGAGGGGCACATTCATAAGCTACAAATGCTGGTGAGGCTCCCAGGTGAGTGACCCAAAATCTTTCAAATCTATAATTGACCTAAAACTTTTAGTGCAGCTATGAGAACCCTGTAGAGTTCTGGAAGACCCTTCAATTCCCTGAACCCGTTCACACACCTGAAGTCTATGAAATGACAAGAGTATAGTAGGAAATGAGAGCGTTTTGTACTTTTTATTCAGATTGTTCTTTTTTTAGACAATTTCATCCATGCATATAGCTCATTCTGATGACTGTCACCCAACCTTCTATTCTCTATCTTCCTCCTATCCCTGTGCTTCCCTACGAATCCCTGTCTCACCGTTAGGTCTTTTTGAGCTTTTTTGTGACCCCGTGGGTTTAACCAGGGCCGTCTGTGCAAACGTGGGTTTGGAGCTATCCAGGAGAGCCCAGTGGATTGAGAACGATGGTATTTAATGGACACTTAACAAACACTTGAAGCACTCCCCATGCACTTTCACATTGACAACTCCCAGCAGCTCTAGGCAGCCAACATAAGATGAGGCTCAAGCAACTGAGGTAAGGGCGAGGAACTAGAGACGCAGCTCCATTGGGAAAGTGCTTACCTTGCAAGCATGAAGACATGAGCTCGGTTCCCTAATGTCACTTGGGAAAAAACAAAAAACAGGTGCTGGTACACACTTGTCACTCCAGAGCTCAGGAGGCAGAAGCAAATGTGTCCCTTGGCTAGCTTGCTTGGTAAAGGCCGGATCACTGAAAAAGCCAATATCAAAAAAATCAGGCAGCTCCTAAAGAATGACACCCAGGCTGCCTGTCCCCTGTCCCCCATGCATACACATGCACACACAGAAAAAAAAATGATATTTACAGAAGTTAAGTGCCGTTTCATCATCCCAGAAATACTAAGTGGCAGAAGCAGGAACAGAGTCCAGTCGTTTTGAACGCCGAGCTGGTGTGACGGGCAGTTCCACTGTGGGGCTTTACTCACTAGGAGAGTTGTGAAGACCTGAGTCTGTGTGGAGGCACTGTTGTGTAGACAACTCTCACAGTGCACTGCTGGGAACCCCTCGAGCGAGAGGCGTGGAGGGGGCTGGATGGGAATTCTGTGAAGGCTGCAAAGGAAGGAGTGTCTCAGGATGCCAGGAGGTTGCAAAGAATGAGTAGACAGATAAGACGTACTTTGTTTACCAGCACCCAGGCTGCTGGGCAGGCAGATGCTGACCGGCACCCAGGCACATACATGACAGCATGAATGGGCTGTCCCCGGGTGGGCACAGGCACACATGTAGGCTGGCCAGCACACAGACAGAGATAAGCACACTCAGCCCTACGTAGACTAGCAAAGGCAAACAGGGAAAGGGAAGGCACACCCTTCTGACCTCAAGGCCATATTTATACAGACTCACGCAAGAGTAGCACTTTACCAGGAATGGATATATAACATTACATCGCTGCTTGATTTTGGGTTTCCCCAGATGCATGATGTCAGTCATTTTGCAATGTCAAGGTGTCCAGTGTTTGTCATCTTGGCCCATTCTAGACATTCATATCAGTGTCTCTCTATCTAAACATAAGCTGGCTTGAACATTCCTCTATTCCATTCAGATGTTGAAGAGTGTGACGATCTCCACTCGAGCTTCCGTAACTTCAGGAGAGGAAGTGGTGGTCAGTGCACAGGAAGGGTCAGTGGGATGGACCCAAGCAGTGGTGGTGCTCCTTCCGCTGGAAAGTAAGCCTCCTCCATGACTCTCCTGTTCTCCTGGCAGGACTGAAGGTGAGTTACCTAACTTCTAGATGAATAAGGGTCATACAAATCCCCCCCTGCAGACCACTGGGGGCAATGAAATGAAACATCTGACGTACTTTACTCTGTCTGGAATCCTCTGTTCATGTCTTCCTGTGACTATTGCCACTCTAATTGTATGATAGCCTTTAACTCAAACAAACAAAAACAAACCAAGGCCAAGCCATGGGAAAACTCTTCTCAGCTGACATCGCTGTAGCAAGTTGGAGGGAAGAAACTTCTTATTTTGGCTTCGGAACCTTGAGGCAGAAGTTCCCTTGCCTCCTCTAGACAGCCATCACCAGCATCACCAGTGAGATGCACTCGGCCCTCCTCCATTTCCGCTCTGGTAGACTCAGAAGTAAAGGTGGAGATTGAGAAATGGAAGGAAGCAGTTTGTCAAAGAAAAAGACAGCTGCCTACCCGAGCAAGCCCTGAGTAATTAGGTGCAGGCCAGCATTTACTGTGAGATAGTTGCCAATTGGGGTGGGAGATGGGGCCTGGAGCAAAGACAAAAAAAAAACGAACAAACAAACACAATAACAAAAACAAAAACAGTGGCGCCTTGAAGGTTCTCATCGGAAGATCTAATGACGCGCGCGCGCTGCGCTGCAATGGTGCTGTACAAACTAGCCTGCAGTTCTTTATGTCTGGCTCCAGAGGCAGATCTCACTCCTTCCCACCCCACAGCCACAGGAGTAGTGCTGTCTTTGCCAGCACCGACATTGCTCTTTAATGGGCTTTAAAAAAATAGATCCAAGATAGATGGGCCTTAAGCTTGACATTTGATTTCATCCCCCCCCGATGTATAGAAGCTACAGAGGCTTTTGGAAGACCCACCACAGAGATTATATGTAAATCAATAACAATTTTTCTTTTGTGCTCAAACCATGCATACTGACAAGCTAGTTTTCATGACATCCCAATAAGATGAGTGAATTTAATGCCCCTGTTCCAATTCAATTATGCTTCAGTGTTCTAATTAGCCTAAATGATTTTACTTTTTCTCCATAGAATGAATTTTTGCCAGATTCCTGCATTTTCATCAAATTGTCTTGTCAGAGCTGAGTACAGGCAGCACAGACAGCTAAGTGCTGTGGAATGAGGCAAACAGAATGGAGAATCGGGTAAGGAGAGCACTGACAAGGGTTAAAAGGCGTGGCCAGATGGGCAGGTGCAGGGACCCAGCCCAGGTGGCCGTGTGGGACCAGTTGGTCAGGTACAACACAGAAAGGCAATAGGCATATAAAGCATGGGCACAGGGGTAGCAGTTACAATAGCTGAGAATGCACTATGTTCAGCCGACACACTTAAACTGTGCTCCCGAAGGGAATGTACGTATCTGCTTTCCCATCTCCATCAGAAGAGTGTTCTCCCCTACCTGGTGGGTGTACATTGGCCGTGTGACTTTCTTGTACAATGAAATGCTAAGTGCATTAGTTTGTTTTGTGTTGCTTTAACAGAATACCTGGAACTGGTCAGCACCGTTAATCATCTCCAGAGATCATCATTACCCAATCATGTATTCAACCCATCTTAAAAGTACCATCTCCCATTACCGCGATGTTGGAGCACATGGACCGTTTCTGGCTTTGTTTCTCCATTTTTAAATGTATTGGCTTAAAAACAAAAAAAACCTGCACAATGTATTTGATCATATTATTTCCCCTCCCCTCCTTCCCCATCCTTCCCACCTCCTTACCCACCCAAAATCATGTTCTTTCTCTCTCTCAAAAAAAAAAAAAAAACCTAAAAAGAAAAAGACAAAAAAACACCAAAACAAAAAGTGCATGTAAAACATCAAGCCTTACTTGGTGTTGTCATCTCCTCTAAAGCACGGGGCCTGTCCTGGAGTGTGGTTGGAATACCCAGTGTCACTCCATTGGAGAAAACTTATTTTCCCTCCACAGCAGGTACCAATTGCAGATAGCTCCTTGGTTAGGGGAGGGACTTTGTGGTCACTTCCCCGTCTTGGACTGGGATTTGCACACCACCTGTCATTCTTACAGTCTGCCTCCTCTTCCACATAGATCCCCAAGCCCTGAGGGAAGCGGTTTGATAAAGGTCCCATTTAGGACAGTGTGCTTCATGGCCAATACCTGAGTCTACAGAATGAGAATCGGTCTTCTAGTGTGTTAGCACCGTTAGGTTAGGCCTTTGAGGCTTCCGACAGCACCGTGAGAAGAGCTGGCCCTAATAACTCTAGTTCAGCCCAGATGAAAAAACAAGCAGTATAGTCCCAGATCACACGTACTGCTCAGAGCAAGGCTGAACGAGATTCCATCTAGAAAGTTCTTTCTAGCCCCCAGGCTCCACTAAAGCTGTTTCCTTTGCAGCATTCTTCCCAATGCCTGTCCTTTTCTAATCTTCAAGTCTGAACCTAAACATGGCTTCTTCAGGGTGCCCTGCCCTGACTTTCCTCCCATCAAATTTATGCCTGCCCTACTGTTCATTTTTCCTAAATGCACCCAGCTCTTTCATCACAATTTAATTATATGTCTCATGTTTGTCTCATGCAGTATTCCCTGAGATCAGTGTAAGCTTCACTTAGTTCTAGCATAGACTTTACTGTAGACCAGGCATTTAACAAATGCTGTGATACGAAAAATAACAAGCACCCCCCTGGGGTAAGAGTCTGTGAGGGCCACCCTGGTGGCTTGGGGCCCTCCGCCTGAGGAGACAGATGTGCATCGACAATAGACTTCGAGCCACTACCCAGGTAGTGACTTTGTGTCTATGGTTAAGACTGACTTGAGCGACAGGCATAGGATCTATAAACCAAATGGGGCCAAAGTTCAGTGTCTTCAAAGAGCAGTTAGCTCTCAGAGTGTCTGTGTATTAAGAGCTTGGGAATAGCTTGGCAGGGCTTTTCTGGCTCAGATACCTGGACACAGGTGGTGAATGGAGATGCTGAGACTAGCAGCCAGGTGTGTCTCTGAACCTGTGTCGTCTCAGGGTCACTGAATGTGGGACTGCTGTACAGATCTGGGTATATCAAGTGATGGAAGTGTACCTCAGCATCTCAATGCATCACAAGAGAAGGCTCAGACTCGCTTGGTTTTCTCAGACGTGGCCCAGGTCCTTGTCCTATACCCTCTTCCCAATCACAGCTACAGCCATGAAGGAGTCTCAAGTGCGTCCTCCCTTGTTCTCTTATCTCCTGACTCTCTGTAGAACTGCAGTCCATCCACACATAGGTTCACACAGGAAAAGGGAATGGCTAAAACCTCCAGGAATAATTCTTAATTGCAGGTAAATGGGAACCACTGAGCAAATTCCCTACGCCTAGACTACTCTGAAAACTATTGTGTAAGACTCAGCGGTAACCACAGGGTCTAACGCCCTGTAGTTCTAGGTAGTGACCCCATAATTTACACTGATTAGCTTCTTCCTTCCCTCTGCCTTCTCCCTGTTCCTGCACACCTGCTCCAGACCTTACAAATAATGGCATCCCCCTATACATTCTACACCTGCTCAGACCTTACAAATAATGTCGTCCCTCTGTACATTCTACACCTGCTCCAGACCTTACAGATAATGGCAACCCCCTCCACATTCTACACCTGCTCCAGACCTTACAAATAATGGCATCCCCCTATACATTCTACACCTGCTCAGACCTTACAGATAATGGCAACCCCCTATACATTCTACACCTGCTCCAGACCTTACTAATAATGGTGTCCCTCCACATTCTACACCTGCTCAGACCTTACAAATAATGGCATCCCCCTATACATTCTACACCTGCTCAGACCTTACAAATAATGTCGTCCCTCCACATTCTACACCTGCTCCAGACCTTACAGATAATGGCATCCCCCTGTACATTCTACACCTGCTCAGACCTTACAGATAATGGCATCCCCCTATACATTCTACACCTGCTCCAGACCTTACAAATAATGGCGTCCCTCTGTACATTCTTGTCTTGAATGCTGCTTTTAGAGAAACTTAAACTAAGAGATGAATGCATTGATGATGTAACAAAATTCTGAACATGTCTTAGTCATGCAGAAATTATCACAAGGTGGTAAGCACAGAAGGCAAGTTAAGTATGATACATGTACATCAAACCATCATGGATGCTTACACAGTTATCATACTCCATCCATTCTAGGACACACCTTGTCTTTCACATTTTAACTTTTCTGGAAACAAGAAAAAGTGCTGCCAAATGTAATTAGATCACCGATTTAAAGTGAACATTGGTGGACTTGTGCTTTGTTGTGGGGACTTCATAGGGTAGAGTAGGCATTGTCTGGGGAGGGGAAGGAATTCTCACAACAGGCATGATGAACCTGAGTATGACCCCAGCCATGAAATCAATGAGACTAGGAGGACCCAAAGGTTTTCTGGACAGGTGCCGGTACACCGAGTTCATAAAAACAGAGACTGTTCCTCACATGTCTGTGGCATCAAGACAGAGCCTGGGCGAGGTTATTCATGCCGTAAGTGAGATGTGAAGGTGGACTGTCCTACCGGTCCCGGAAGCACACAGAGGAAGTGAGACAGCTGGAACAGAGACAGAGGAGGGGCTGAGGGTGAACCTCTTTAGAATTTGAAGAACACGGCATGCTTGAGCAACCGAGACTGAGTGAGCCCATGAGCCCTGCAGAGCAGCACCTCGCACTCAGACCACGAAGAAATAGGTAACCTAGCAACCACCTTTTCCCTTCACTTCCGGGGCTGAGGAGTGCTTCAGCAGAGCCGGATGCCGCCTTCTTTCCCCTCCCAGCTCTCTCTCTCTCATGTGCTTTAAAACCTGCCCCTCCTCTCATTTCCCTCCAAAACTCAATCTCCCTCCTTTCCATCTCTCTAGGCTTAGCCCACTCACTCTCCAGCAGACCAGATGGAAGCATCTGGCATTCGGGGCTGATGATAAGTTATCTCCGTTAAGGGCCATTTGTATTGTAATAGCACTTTCTGAGCCTCAAGCCCTCGAGGATGAACGCATGCTAGGCATTTGATAGTGAATTCACAGGGGGACTTTGGGGTGTTTTTAAAATTCCAAGGGAAACACAGACACATCTGTCAGGCTGTGCACAAATTACTACTATGAAGTTATTTGGATTGGCCTACTTAATAAACACAACTGTTACAAATTTCTTTTGACTTAGAAGAGCCATGGGGGGGGAAGCAAATGTTCTGTGAATAGGAAGTTTGAAAACTTGAGCCTCAAGCCTAAGCAGTGGGTAGGGGTGGCATGTGAAGTAACTTAAATGCTCTCAGGAAAGACTTTGCGGAACCAGGACCCCTTCAAGTCCCCGGATCATGGCCCATAGATGAGTCCATCCTTCCAAATAGGTTGAGATCCCTATAATCAAATTCTTAGGATCTCCCCAGGTAATGACTTCAAGACTACCTGTTCCGGAGCACTCCCTAACCATAATCCCAGGAGACATAGAGACGCACTCAAGGATGTGAGGTCCCATGGTAGAATCAAGAACAGCCTGCATTTTTAGGTTTTCCTATATGGGGAAAGCAGAAAGCAGATAGGTCCTAGGCCCATTTCCATGTGGTCATGCCCTCTCAAATCATGTTAGCTCCCCCTTCTGGTAGGTTTGTCACACCTTTTCTTCAATATCTATGGATAGAGCTTCTTAAAACACACACACACACACACATTAGAATATAAGTTCCATTAAAGCATGACTCCACATGTGCACTACTGTATAACCAACACCTGCAAGAGTATCTGTTATATAATAATCACTCAATAAATGTATAAATGAATTGAATATATTAGCTGGAGTTCCATGGGAGAACTAAGCCCTAACACTCTTATCGTCCGCCATATGAATTACCTTCTCAACTGTGCATCAAGAATAGTGTGACTGTGCATCCTGGAGGAGCAGAGAGCATGGTCACTGAAAGTAATGTCTGTGCACTTCCATTCAGAGGAGGAACTCCTGTTGGGAAAGGCTGAGTTCACGAGCAAATGGACAGCTGGAGAATCCTAGTCCTCCAAGGAGCCTCCACTGGCCCCAATCCATTCTTCCTGCCTCTGCTAAATACCACTGGGTTGGAAATGGTTAAGAGACAAAGTCTCTGTTTCTACTGGTGAGCACTTAGAAGGGATGCTCGGCCACCCCTGAAAGGTGGCTTGTGGGACCCCACAGCTAATGGCTCTGTAAGCAGACCCAGCCTTTTAAAGGTCTCTCAAAAGAAGGCATGCACAATTGAGGCTGCAGCTCAAGTACTGTCTGGTGCTGATAAGGCTGCTTGGGAACGCCCTGTCCTATCCCTTCCCCAAACCAAAGGCTCTTTGAGAGGCGGCCAAGCATGTGAGACCAGCCAAGCAGTACTAAGTGCATTATCTTGTCTAAGCAAAGCATGAGAAGTAAATTAAGATCCTCACTGACCTCACTGGCTTAACATAAAAACCCCTCTGCTTTCACCTAATGCATGGCCATTGCCCTGAAGAGAAGCCCCTCCCTTCCCTTAAAATTGTATTTAGCCTTTGAAAAAAACGAAACTGGCCGCTTCTGCCATCTCATTCTATAAAGACCCTTCTAGTTCAGCTTCCTTCCTCTGGTCGTGTCTAAAGCAGTCACTAGGAAAGAGAATGGGATTGCCATAATTAACCCTAACCCATAAGATCTAACACCCTAGAAGCTAAGGGTGCAGGCCCCTAGGC